ACACATTCACACACTGGTGATGCCAAGCTACATTGTAGCCACAGCCACCCTGGGGCGCACTGACAGAGACGAGGCTGCCGGACTCTGGCGCCACCGGGCCCTCTGACCACCACCAGTTGGCAACGGGTGAAGTGTCTTGCCCAAGAACATAACAACCGAGACTGTCCAAGCCGGGGCTCGAACTGGCAACCTTTCGATTACAAGGCGAACTCCCAACTCTTGAGCCACGATCGCCCCATCTATTAAACTATCTTTTATTTCCATTATAACTGGATAGATTATCAGGATTTATTTATACTTCAAGTGTTGCTGGAGATTCGACCTTTCCATTTGAAAAGCCACGATTCAAAGAAATCTTCAGGAAGGTGCCTACAACTGTTGCATTCCCAATTGTTGCACTTCCAAGATCAGCTGTCTCCTGGGACTGAGACAATATCAGAAGTGTCTTACCTGGGATAAGAAAATTGTAGTTGTTGCTCTGTGGTTCAAAGCCTGTTTTGGATGAAAGAAAACTTTTCATTTACTTTGGAAATCAGGCTACTGCAGTCTGTACAGGCACTCGATCCAAGGTGTTTGAAGTCCAGCATGAAGCTTTTGCAGTCTGCAAGGAATTGGAGTGCCAGGTCACCTGCTGAAGTTGGTGGTGGTCAGTCCACTGTGTTTTGTCAAATCCAAAGTCAATACAGTTGTCTACAAGAAGATTCAGAGCAGTTTATGCTTCCATCTGCTGTAATGGTTTATAGAGATGCCAATTTTGTTTTCCAGCAGGACTTAGCACCTGCCCACAGTGCCAAAAGTACGACCAAATGGTTTGCTGACCATGATATTGTTGTGCTTGACTGGCCAGCCAACTCATCTGATGTGAGCCTCAGAGAGTCTGTGGGGTATTCGCCAGGAAAAAGGTGAGAAAGACTTGACCCCAAATTCCAGACGAGCTGAAGACCATTATTGAAGCAACCTGGGTCTCAGTAACACCTCTGTAGTGCCACAAGCTGATCATTTCCATGCCAGGCTGCACTCAGGCAGTAATTTGCTGTAATGTAGCCCCAGCCAAGTAATGAGTGTATAAATAAACATCCTTCTGATAAGGTGGACATATCCCTATTATACATGATTTTGATTGATCTTAGGAAATATTGTAATAGAGAAACAGTTTTTTTTAGTTTAATAAGGTAAAGTGAAATGAAAGTTTACCTTTTTTAATTAAATCCAGAAAATAAATGTACTTTTCCACAATATTCACATTTTTTGAGATTTAGTTGTATAATAAATGATAAATATATCAAATATATTAACATATTATATATTTTTCCATTATTTTGAAAACTATATTTCTAATGTTGTGGAGAAAAAAAGGAAGAAATGAAACCAATGAAGCCAATAGTTAGAAACAATAGAGGGGGCTGATTTTCTTCTAAACGTGTGATTACTTAAACAAACTTTAAAGACATTGGCACAATCTCCATACCTAAATAATGAAGCTTAAACGTGAGTCAAAGGCAAAGATGCAATTACAACATTTTTTAAAGCCTTAAGTAAATTTTCTTTATTTTCACCATTCATTATTGAAGAATGTGTCAGTGATTCCATAACTTTCATAATTACAGACTGTTAAAGCAGACTGAGTTGAAGGAATTGAATGTTGAGTGATATCCTTTTATGATCTGCACTTGGCAATAACTTAAGTTTAGTTTCTGCCAACAATCTTATCAAAAAGCTTAACTGGGTAACTGCTTTTTCTCCAAAAACAAAACTGATCTCAATACACCAAGAAAAGGGGACTTTTCTCTCTGAGTATCCACGGTTTTGATTTTCTGTGACCCAATAATTATATTAGTATGTTGTGTTTGTGTTTGTCTTCAAAGTCTGATTATATTTATTCTTGTGGGATTTATATAGTCTGAGACCAAAAGTGCCTGGATTTATCGAATATGCTTAAATTGCATGTAATTTACTGAGAAAATCTGAAGTCAACAAATAAAACGAAACAAGAAAGCAGATGGAAAAATGCTGCACAGTGTAATTTTGTTTGGATTTCGGTTTAATTTGAGTCTTCAATCAAACTACTTTTGACATAAAGTCTGTTAAGAAGCATTTTGATTCCAAGATATTGTGTTACTGTGCTGGACACAATTTTCTTCTGACCACAGATTTCAAATAAAAGATTGATTTTCTTTCATTGCCTCTTTCTTTACAGTAGGCCAACAGCTCTGCTAGCATTGACCCTATGGACGTAGGGAAACTCAAGATATGCATCTATCCAACACTCTTGCCATGACCCAGTCACACAAACACTCTAGAGTAGTACATATTTCATCATAGGTAAATCCCAAAGCAACAGTGGTACTTTTTTGTGTGGTATTCATGACCAGCATTCACAAAACAGCTTTTGTCTGCAGTATTGCAGCAACACATGGAATAATGCATACCGACAAATCCACATCAAGCACTTTGCTTGCTTTCTTGTGTTTGATTAAGCTTTGACAGCAATACAGTATGCAACTACACACTTTCAGTAAGTACCACTGAAAATCAGGTGGCTTATGTATCCCAGACTGGCTGATATTTACTTTGTTGGAACGTAACCACTGACAAAAGGTGTGAGTTGTTCAGTTATTGTTTGATATTATAGTGTTACTCCACCGCAGACAGCAGGAATCCAGATTTTCAAAACAAAATGAGAATAATTAAATGTAAGAGCCGTCTTGAACATGTCAGTAATTTCCCTTGGTGACAGTAAATCTTGGCAGGAAAGGGGGGAAATTTCAAATTAAAAGCTATTATCAATTGAATCGTGAAATGTAACATCAATGATCCCTGGAGCATTTTATGACTGCATCTGCAAAAGAAACTTGTCACGTGTCACCACCACTTCCAGGCTAATGACTTTGTAATGGCACCATTTATCCATTTAGCCTCATTGAGTTCCACGCAATGTTGGACCCGCCAGGTTCTTTAGCCGATGGTGGATGCTTCAAGTACTTCACTGCAAGTGGACCATTGGAGAGCTAGTGAGTTGCAAAACTCTCTGTGACAGCAGTGGATATAGTGATGTCAAAATCAGTTTAAAAGTTATCCATTTGACATGCTCCAGCTTTGAGCTACAATAAAGACTGTGAGCTTCCAAAATCTACCCCCCCCCCCCCCCCCCCAAAAAGAAAAACAAAAACAAAAAACATAAACCCCACATCTAATAACCTGTGTCAGATATACTTTTAAAGTATCCGTTTTGGATTATCAAATAGAGTATTAGCTCCTATGACACACTGTAGTATGCCAAGCTGTTAATGCCATTTCTTCTTTTGTGTGTGTGTGTGTGTGTGTGTGTGTGTGTGTGTGTGTGTGTGTGTGTGTGTTTGTTTGTTTGTGCTTTGCATTTCTGAAAACTATTACATTGGGAGAGAAAGAGTAAACTTAACTAATAAGTACAGTGGTGGGTTCGACCGAATAAATCAGGCATAATCCATCTGTGGTTTTTCAAGTTATATCTATTCACACCTATACATATTTCCACTAAATCAGGATGATACTGCCAAACTAATGGAACCTTTAACATTCAAAAGAAAAAAATTGCCCACAAGGTACCTTAAATATTAAGTAACCTTATCTGACCTGACCAAAGATGGTTTGAGGCAAAAATTTTAGCAGCTATGTTACCAGCTTCAATGCACAGTTCATGTTTATATTTATTGAATCTCAGCAGTAAAAATGTATGTGAAGGAGACAGAAAGACAGAGCAAGCTGTTCTAAGATGAATGCTGATGTAGAAGAAGACATAATGACCTGAGGAGGATTTGTTGCATTTTTATGTTAAGAATTGTAGATGGCTTGTAAAACCTCTCAAAAGTCTTTGTTTTGAAATTTGACTGCAGATTCTACCTATTACTCTGCACTATATTTAGCAGTGCTGGAGATATCCTCATGAAGTGAGGTACAAGCTGATATAATTTTGATGTAATATCTAACGCAGTAGAGTAGAGCGCTTTTGGCTAAGCCTTTGGTCTAAGGAAATATGATCTTATGTCATGCGTATGCTGACCATATGTTGTCAGAATACACCACTCACCAGCACCATAGCAAGGATTTTAGAATGATGCCAGGGGTTCCCTAGTTTAACACCAACATGCCTATACAAATTTGATGTAGCCCCCACAGTGTTATTATAGAATATAAGCCCTAACTGTCTGTCAAAGCCACAACATTGAGCAGCCATGACCTTATCAGTCATTAATGAAGTGAATTTATACGTTTAATACAGTGTTTGCATTAATGAATTCAGCAGCCATGACACCTGCCACTTTGAGTTAACATTATTACCTGACACACATCACCACAGATCTACTGAGCAGGTTTCGCAGCCATCGACAGAACAACAGAATCTCCCCTGCTGCTTTTCAGAACCATGGACAGTAACCAGAACTTCACTTCAGTTGTGTTTCAGCACCTGGGACAGCAGAGCAAATTTTGCTCCACAAAAATGTGTGCATAAATTGCCATGGTTTCGCTTCCAATGCAACGTGAAACGGGGTCCACAGAGCTATGCTGAATTTTTATGAAGATGAGTTTCTCAGCAAGTCATCATAAGTTCACATTAACACAGACATACAGTCACGTTGTTTTTTTATGTAAAGAACACAGCCTGCACGTGGCATTGTGTGACACCTTCTGCGCAACTCAACGCCTTCTCACTTTGTTGCGCTTTCAGTTGTCTCAAAAAAACAAAACGAAAAAACCCAACAAAAATCCTTGTATGCTTAATAAGCCTGTGTCCTTCTGAGCCCACACCGTACCCAAATGTTGACACCTTAATGAGCAATGACCAGGCTATTTATGGTGCTCATCCTGTAGCCTCGGTGTAAAGAATTAGCATACCTATCAGCTGAAAAAAGTCACGACGCGGCTTCTTATCCTCATCCACCCTCAGTTACCTCGCCTTCCGCCTCATACAGTCCAGACCCACCCCTCACTGCCTGCCATGACCGTCCTCTACAATACGAGACTGTATTCTTTGTACCTCCCCTTTCTCGCCCTCCGTCTGTGGATCCCAGCCTCCCTTCCTAGATATCCATCCACACCTCTCTACCCGCAAACGGCTCCTAGTGTGACAAAAAAAGAGAGCAGAACTGTTTCAAACACGTCGACATAAATCCCACTTCTACAGCTCCCTTTTCTCCATTCCCTCCTGACGGACTTCATTACTTTATTCATCTGCGCGCCAATGCACGAGACCACGCAGAAACGGAGGATTTTTTTCCCTTGAGCATGAAAAGGATTGCCAAATCATCCGCAATCCAACATCACCGACTGAGCCACCAGCATGAGCACTGGATACATATGCTCCAGCAGAAGTTGTTGGCGAGAGAACTAAGAAATCTTGGACCACAAATACAGCTAAGAGGGGAGAGTCAGTTTTAG